TAAAATATGGGTTTCTGTAAATACTCACCGGCACGTAAAGTATTGTATATTTTGTTCTAGTGAGCCGATTTTGATGATTTTTTAAGCAACTTGTGAGGAGGATGGGGTCTGCTGGTTTCCTAAGCTAAAAAATGAAATTAAGATGCACCAGTGTAATGCAGCATCTCTTCCGGATAAAAAGCATTTATGGGTGGAGACAAGACATCACTACTACTATTATTATTTTGCAAAAGCCTCGACCTCTGTCTGTAAAATGTAGATGAATGTCTAAATGCCTTTTTAGTGTTTTTTTAGGCATAATAAAAAAATTAAGTTACGCAAATGCTACTTAATGGGTTGTATTTACGGACGTAAAAAGATATACGTAAATTAGGTTATAAATATGAACATAAAATACAACAAAATATAATTGGACGTTACTTTAGGGATTATCAGTGAGACGTATCCTATTCGGACAAAGGGTACACGTCGGGCTAGTTCAAGTATATGTACGTCGTGCAAGCCAACGTGGGAATGACGTTGGGAAATTAATAAAAAATGGTACGTTGTTATTTTGTACGTCGACAGATCGTTGGATTTACCGACTCGGATCCAACGACGTCGCTTTTAATAGGAAAGCGACGTTACCGGTGGTATCACCAGCACCTGATCTAAATTTGCACAAAGTCTGACGTCGCTTCAGGTCAGATTTAGTTCGAAGTCAGATAGATGCTACTTGGGAAAATGTTGATATTTCGCGAAAGTTTTAAACACTCTGTGGAGTACATTAATAAAGCAAAGAATTTAAAAATAATTTTATCATCTAAGTGTATCATTTCTCGATAGCTTATTTTTTTATTCATCTCAATAGCTTTATTTTTAGCCGACCATACCAACAGGTATGGTAGGCTATTAAGATCGGCAAAAGAAAGTTTTTTAATTTCACTCAAAATGAGTTATTTGGGTCATAAATAACCTAAGTACAAAATATTTTCATGGTGTCTGTCTGTCTGTCCGTCTGTAACACGATAACTCAATAACCGCTAAACCGGTTTTAACCAAATTTGGCACAAAAATACTGTGGCACCCGAGAATCTAGCCATTAGTTTTTGGTGGGGGTAGGGGGTTGATAAGGGGGTATGGGAGGGGGTTAAACATTTTAAAAAATCGTAACTCCAAAATTACAGTAACTAGCGAAACGCGGTTTTCAATTTAAGATTAGGAATAATGTTTGCAACAAAATTTGTAATAACATCAAAATCAGTCAAAGTCGCTGTTTTTGAGATAAAAAAAAGTTGGAAAAATTCCTTAAAAAAAAGAACTGCCTACCAACTTTTTATTAACATATTTTAGTATGGGCGGATATACGTGCCTCCCGGCGATTTTTTTTTGAGATAATCTTTTTCAAAAAATATGTTGAGCGAAAATATAACATTAAAAGAAACAACAAAAAACAAGCTTTGAAATTTCTAAATTTCTTACATCCACTAAGAAATCAGCCGAAATATTTCAATATTTTTGTAAATTTGATACCGACTTAAAACAAATTCTAACCAAGACCTATCTGACCAAATTGCATTTTCACCCTTCCAATCCACCTGAAGTTCAAAACCGTTTCAGCTCAAAAAGGGCTCAACCAGCTTATATAAATATTGAAATACCTATGCCGTCATATATTTGCATAAATAGCACGCTTACGTGGCGTAATAATATTCACTTGCTTTAAGGTTGGCGGGTATGATGACGTCCCTTTGGGTAAACAAATAGTAAAGAAGAACGCTTATTATAGTGTTAATAAGTCGGTGAGGTCGTGGTAAGTCCACGCGGTGTTGAAAGAGCTGTAGGTGATGTTTGGAGATAAAGCTCGTTGAAAGTGATGGGAAAATTGCAATTCAAAAATATGGAAGAGCGGATTTGTAAGGTGGTTATTAACTGTAATTAGGATTGAGTAAATAGTACTTTGGTTGAAGTTGAATTGATTTTCGTAACAACACATCCAGCAAATGAATTATACACTGGATAAGACAGATCTGTCATGTATAATTCATTATCTGTTTTCACAATATAAAGAGCAAAGAATCCTGTTTTAATTTTTGAAGAAATTCTAGGGAAACTAAAAGAAGTCTTTATATATTTTTAAGGTGTGTAGTAGCTTCAATGTCACTGTTGTTTTTAATTGTTTCTTTTTATTGGTGTCTGACATTTATTATATTTTATGGATATCATAGTTGAACTGAATCGAATCTATAACCATTTCATCAATTTCAAGTAATTTTTGGCTGGAATTTTTTTTTTTTTTTAAATAAATAATTTTTAAAAAAGCTTTTCTCCTTAGATTTTTAACCCTCGTTAGGTTTTTTAAGATCAGGAAAAGAAACAAACGGAAGCTACTAAAGTTATAATAACTAATAATATAATAGTTATTAAAATTAAACTAATAATATAATAGTTATTCATGTCATAATATAAAAATCCATTAAGAAATTAGAAAGAATATTTCAATTTTTGTAAATTTGATACCGATTTATGCCAAATCAATGAAAGAAAATATTCTATTTATCTTAACAAAAACGGAATCGACCAAATTGCCACCTGAAGTCCAAAACCGGTTTGCATTTATGCATAAGCGTTTCAGCGTACTTTCTTGAAAGGGCTCAACCAGCTTATTTAAATATCGAAATACGCCATCATATATTTGTATAAATAGCAAGTGGCATAATAATATTAACTCACTTTAAGGTCGACGGGCATGAAGACGTCCCTTTGGGTAAAGAAATGGTAAAGAAGAACGCTTATTATAGTGTTAACAAATTTGGTGAGGTCGTGGCAGGTCCGCCCGGTGTTGAAAGAGCTGTAGGTGATATTTGGAGATGATGTTCGTTGAAGGTGATGGAACAATTGCAATTCAAAAATATGGAAGAACTGATTTGTAAGGTGTTATTAATTGTAATTAGGATTGTGTAAATAGTAGTTTGGTTGAAGATGAATTGATTACTACAACAAATTCAGCAAATGAATTATATATTGGACAAGACAGTTCTGCAATGTATACCTAATTCATTATCTTTTTTCACAATATATTGTTAAACAGTAAAGAATCATATTCTAATTTTTGTTGAAATTCAGGAAAAACCAAAGCAAACCAAAGCAACTCTTATTATATTTGTAACGTGAGTAGTAGCTTCAATGTCACTGTTGCTTCTAATTGTTTCTTTTTATTGGTATCTGATATTTATTATATTTTATGGATATCATATTTGAACTGAATCGAATCATAACCACATTTAATCGAATTTTCAAGTAATTCTTGGCTGGCATTTTTTTCAAATAATGAAAGACTTTTAACGCACAATAGGTTTTTAAGAGGAGGAAAAGAAAAAAATGGAGTATACTAAAATTAGAATAATGTAATGGTTATGAAGAAGCAAATCCTTATTCATGTCATATAAAGTTCCATTAAAAAATTACACAAAATATCTCAATATTTTTGTTTCATACCGATTTATGCTAAATTAATGAAAAAGGTGGTCGAATGCTGGTAAAGGATCTCGAGGGGTCTGCCTAATGCCGAGTTGGGTAGGCCACACAAATCTCGAGAAATGTCTACTGAATCTAAAAGCTCTGCCAGTAAGTCCTATTTCCTACGTCCCCGAAGGTTCACGAGAACTGCGTGACCACTGGAAATGTATGGCAGTCAATGGATGCCTGCAACTAACAGGAATAGGGCGATGGCGAATCTCCGGCGCCACAAAACCGGAACCCCTCGGCTAAGGCTGAGTATCCCGACAGAAAGACCTCTGGTCCTCCAGGTTGGGGGTTGGAGCGACGGGCTAGCACCCTGTCATCCGGAAAATAATTACCTTGCTAAAAATTTCGACCAAAAGCCTCGGAACCAGGACGGATGAAGTCCTTTTCCGTTGAAACTAGCCACGTGGAATGTGCAAGGTATAAGGACCAAACAACAAGAAGTGTTTAGTGAAATAAATAAAATGAAGATCGACATTTGTGTGCTAACGGAGACCAAAAAGAAAGGCAAAGGAACGGAGACCGTGGGAGAGTACATCCACATATTTAGTGGTGTAAACAAGGAAACTAGGGCAAAAAGAGGCGTTTCGGTAGCTATACACAAAAGACTAAAAAACAACATAAAAAGCTGGGACGAAATAGACGAACAAATTATAAGTCGAAATACACAAAAACCACCGACGAATGATAATAATAGGAGTATATGCCCCTAGCGACGATGTGGATCCTTTAACAAAAGATATGTTTTTCAATACACTAACGCACATAATATCCTACATTAAACACGATAAAGAACTATTCTTACTGGGAGACTTCAACTCAAGAACGGGAACAGAAACCAAGCCCAGTGGTGGGGCAGTACGGAGAGAGGTCAACCAACGACAATGGTCTCAGGCTAAGAGGCATGTGCGAAAGCCTAAATTTAAAAATTATGAACGTCTTCTTCCCTCATAGAGACATTCATAAGTTTACGTGGACTCAACCAACTCGCCAGCTACGCTCCATAATTGACTATCTGATACAGCGACAAAACTCAAAACTAAAAACCATTGACGTAAGGGCTTACCGTGGAGCAGAATGTGGATCGGACCATCATTTGGTGGTATCAAAAACAGTAGTAGAGTACAGAAATATGTACACTGTAGTAGATAGAACTATACACGACAGATACGTACAAGTAAAAACCAAAAAATACAATTTAGAAAGTTTTATGCAAGAGTCGACACGATTTCTGTACAAACTAAGACTAGCCAATAAACTAGCATATATAAGAAGGGACAACGTAAACGCTGAAACGTTGTATGAACAAACAAAACAATGCATTCACGAAGCAGCTGAAGAAGCTTTAGGGCAACAAGATAAGCAATCGACGGAAAAACCAGAATGGTGATCTGAAAACTTAAAAAAACTTATAGAAGAAAAAAAAGCGATCCTACCAGAAATGGCTTAGTACCCACAGCGACCACGACAGAGAAGAATATGCAAGATTAAATAGAATGGTTAAACGCGAAGTAGCTAAAAGCAAAAACAAAATGTGGGAAACCAAATGTGAGAGAGTGGAAATATATATGGGAGGTACAAGAGTGTCAGAAGCGTGGAAGACAATAAGGAACCTTGGAAGAGACGAAAAGCAAAACAGTAAACTAGAACTTATAAGCATAGAAAAGTGGGAAGACCATTACAAACAATTACTGACAGAAAACAGGATAGAATTCAAACTAGAAGTGCCAGATTTGAAAAACGCAAAAGATATAGATGTAAATGAAATAAGTGTAAACGAGATAAAGAAAGCATTGAAGAATTCAAAAAATGGAAAAGCTGCGGGGCCGGGAAACATTTTCATTGAGCTAATAAAGCAGGGACCCGATATATTATTGGAAATACTAGCTGATATCTTCAACAGATGCCTGATAAAAAACGAAAACATTCCTGAAGACTGGAACCTGGCGTACATCAGCTCTATCTTTAAGAAAGGAGACAAAAAAAGATGTAGCAACTACAGAGGCATTAGTTTGACAAGCTCAATGGGAAGGTTGTATGGCAGAATATTAAAAGAGAGAGTAGAAGAGAGCTTTGAAGAAATAGAAGAACAAGGTGGTTTCCGCGCTGGGCGTTCTTGTACAGACAACATATTTGTGTTACAACAAATAATTGAAAAAAGGAGAGCTCGAAATTTGGACACGCATCTGGTATTTATAGATTTAGAGAAAGCCTATGACACGGTGCCTTTGAAGAAATTATTTGAAATCTTGGTTGAGGCAAATGTGAGTAAAACATATATTAATGCAATCTGGAATATGTACAAAAATTCAAAAAGTATGATCAGACAGGGGAAGTTCCTATCGGAATCCTTCCTGACATCTAAAGGACTTAGACAGGGGTGCAGTTTATCACCTACCTTATTTAAAATATATATACAGGAGGCATTGAAAAACTGGAGAAGGAAGAGTAGAGCTATGGGAATAGAGATTGACAACCACTGTCTATCGACCTTGTTCTTTGCAGACGACCAAGTTATTGTTGCAGGTTGTGAGGAGGATGCCGACTATATGTTGAGGAAACTTGATGAAGAATACGACAGATGGGGACTCAATATCAACCTCACAAAAACCGAATACCTGAAAGTAGGAGAAGAACAAACTGAAGATCCTAAACTACACATACATGAAATTAAAAGATGTAGCGAATATAAATATTTAGGAAGTATTATATCTGAAGAAGAGAACTCCAAGAAAGATATACATAGTAGAGTTCAACAAGGTAAGAAAGTAATCGGTCTTTTAAACCCTCTCCTGTGGTCAAATAAAACATCCATCCAAACAAAGATAAGGATTTACAAAGCAATCGTAGATCCAATTTTAACATACGGTGCCGAATGCTGGCAATTTACAGCAAAAGAAAGAAGGATGGTCGAGTCAGTGGAGATGGACTTTCTCAGAAGAGCATGTCGCATATTAAGGATGGAACACATTAGAAATGAGGAGATCAGGCAAAGAACAAGGCGAATATATACCAGCACCGACAACATCGAATCGAGACAGCTACTATGGTATGGGCACGTAAAAAGAGTGGGATGGGAAAGATGACCAAAAAGGGCAATGGAGTATCATCCCCAAAGCAGAAGGAAAAGAGGAAGACCTACAACTACGTGGTTAGATGGAGTAGACCAGTACATGAGAGACAGAGCTATTAACCAGGAAGAATGGCAAAATCGAGCAATATGGAGGTCGAAATGCGGGATGCGGCAGAAGCTGTAGGACCCCCGCTTTATGTATGTATGTAATGAACAAAAATATCTTAACCAAGACGGAATCGACCAAATTGCATTTTCGTCCTTCCAATCCACCTGAAGTCCAAAACCGTTTTGCATTTAAGCATAAGCGTTTCAGCGTGCTTGAATTGTTCTTGAAAAGGCTTATCCAGCTTATTTAAATATCGAAATACGCCGTCATATATTTGCATAAATAGCATGCTTACGTGGCATAATAATATTCACTTGTTTTAAGGTCGACGGGCATGCAGACGTCCCTTTGGGTAAACAAATGGCAAAGAAGAACGCTTATTATAGTGTTAATAAGTCGGTGAGGTCGTGACAGGGCCACGCGGTGTTGAAAGACCTCTAGGTGATGTTTGGAGATGAAGCTCGCTGAAGGTGATGAGAAAATTGCAAATCAAAAATAGTAAAGAACGGATTTGTAGTTTGTAATTAACTGTAATTAGGATTGAGTAAATAGTATTTCTGTTGAGTTGAATTGATTTGCATAAAAACACATCCAGCAAATGAATTATATACTGGACAAGACAGGTCTGTAACGTATAATTCATTACCTTTCTTCACAATATATTGTTAAAGAGTAAAGAATCATATTTTAATTTTTGATGAAATTATTGAGTAACTATAAAACAAGTCTACTTATATTTGTAAGGTGTGTAGTAGCTTCAATGTCACTGTTGTTTTTAATTCTTTCTTTTTATTTGTGCCTGACATTAATATTTTATTGAACTGAATCGAATCCATAACCATTTTATCGAGTTTTCAAGTAATTCTTGGCTGAAATTTTTTCAAATAAAGAATCATTAAAGAAATATTCTTAGCTTAGATTTTTAACACACAATGGGTTTTTAATATCAGGAAAAGAAACAAACGGAGGCTAGTAAACTTATAGAATAATATAATTGTTATTAAGAAATTAGACAAAACATCTCAATATTTTTGTAAATTTGATGTCGATTTAGGCCAAATAAATGAAAAAAACTATTATATTTTTCTTAACCAAGTCGGAATCGACCAAAATGCCTTTTTGCCCTTCCAATCTACCTGAAGTCCAAAACTGTTTTGCACTTATGCATAAGCGTTTCAGCGTGCTTTCTTGAAAGGGCTCAACGAACTTATTTAAATATCAAAATACCTCGTCATATATTTGCATAAATAGCACGCTTTCGTGGCGTAATAATATTCACTTACTTTAAGGTACACAGGCATGAAGACGTCCCTTTGGGTAAACAAATGTAAAGAAGAATGCTTATTATAGTGTTAATAATTCGGTGAGGTCGTGGCAGGTCCACGCGGTGTTGAAAGAGCTGCAGGTGATGTTTGGAGACGAAGCTCGTTGAAGGTGATGAGAAAATTGCAATTCAAAAATATGGAAGAGCGGATTTGTAAGGTGTTATTAACTGTAATTAGGATTGGGTAAATAGTACTTTGGTTGAAGACGAATTGATTTTCGTAAAAACCCACCCAGCAAATGAATTATATTCTGGAGAAGATAGATCTGCCAATATATAATTCATTAACTTTTTTCACAATATATTGTCTTCTTCTTATATTTGTAACGTGTGTAGTAGTTTCAATATCACTGCTGTTTTTAATTGTTTCTTTTTATTGGCATCTGACGTTTATTATATTTTATGAATATCATTTTTTTTTATAGATGGGAAACACCTTTAGGGCCGGAGTGTGGGGATCTCCCTCTCTACTCTACCCAGAGGGCCTACCCACTAAAAACTCATCTTTGTCAAACCTCAGTTTCTGTCTCGGAACCGCCCGGGGCATTACTTCAAGACAGAGGGTTGTCTTATGTGTGCATCCTATGTATTAATCGTTGCGCCAACTCTTCCTGAAATTTGGTTTTCATAATAACCCTAAGCATTTGCGCAACCGCTATGCTCTTCTCTTGGTCTTCACCCATAAGTGCCCCGACGTTATCCAGCGTGACCTTGGTGCCGCACCTTGCCTCTGCCACGTCCCTAAATTCCCTCCATCTTTCACACTCGAATAGAGTGTGCGCAGGAGTATCCTGCTCCTGGCAGTATACACAGCGATCGCTATCTCTTTTGCCCATCCTTTTCAGGTATGTGCCAAAACACCCATGACCTGTAATAGCTTGAGTAAGAAAGCGGTCTACCTCCACCCATCCATTCTTGTGCCACTCCGCCACATTTTCAATAAATTGCTTTGCCCAGCCATCATATCTCTGCCAATCCTCCTGCCATTTCATCAAGATGTTTTCTCTTACTTGCAACCTATGTTCCTTGCCCAGCCTGTAGGTGTCGCATCTTTCCTCTACCTGGTGTACAATGGGCATGACACCAGCCAATGCCAGTACTGCCGTTGTCGGCGCAGTGCGGTAGGCGCTCGTAATACGTAAGGTCAATTTCCTAATCATAGATTGCAGCATGTTTTGATAGTGTTGATATTGTATAGCTCTTCTCCAAATTGGAGCGGCATACAATATCATAGAAGTCACGGCCGATGCCATCGTCCTCCTCTTCATAGCTCTAGGCCCGCCAACATTGGGCATTACCCGCGACAGGGTGTTAGTTGCACGTGTGGCCTTTTCCACTATTCTGCGGACGTGGGTGGTCATACGCAGACCGCTGTCCAACCACACTCCCATGTACTTTACAGCTTTGCAGGGCATAATAGTCACTCCCATGATATCAGCGCTCCAGCCTTCTAATTTCCGCTGTCCCACCAAAGCAAGCATCTCCGTCTTCTGTTTTTCTAAGCTGATACCCATGCTATCCAGCTTGTTGCCGATTATCAGCGCCGCAGTCTCCACTCTTATTTGCAACATATTGGACGTTGAGGCTGTGATCAGGACTGCCAGTTCATCTGCGTAAGCAAGAATCTCGCACCCAGTTCCTATGTCCAACCTCAGCACCTGGTCATAGAAGACGTTCCACAGCATCGGGCCAAGTACTGATCCCTGAGGAACCCCGCAACTCATTTTATAGGTTTGGCCGTCCTCCGCCTCTATTTTCCTGCATGATAAGTAGGACTGGATAACCCTAATTAGGTACCTGCTGATGCCCATTGACTTCAATTGGTCTATAATACCCCGCCAGGGAGCAGAGTTAAATGCGTTTTTCACATCCAACGTGAGAAGGGCTACGTATCCCCTACTCTTCCAGCTGCGTTGCCTTATCAGGTCCTTGTCCACAATTATGTTAAGAGCGTTTATTGTGGATTTGCCCTTTATGAATATCATAGTTGAACCAAACCGAACCTAACCATTTCATCGAATTTTCAAGTAATCTTTGGCTAGCATTTTTTTTCAAATAAAGAATCATTAAAGAACTTTTCTCCGGAGACTTTTAACCCACAATGGGTTTTTAAGACTAGGAAAAGAAAAAAACGGAGGTTACTAAAATTAGAATGATGTAATGGCTATGAAGAAGCAAGCCCTTATTCTCATGTCATTGTAACAGTCAAATTTCCTCGTTATGACCTCTGTGTGCTAGCTCATAAAGTAACGCAAATAACTATTGTTTTTGCATCATGTTTATTATAATTTTATTGTTAAATATTATTTTATTTAAATTTTACGATTATGCAACCACGATATTATACAGCTACAGCTACACAATATTGTCACTGGATGCGGCCCAGCAGTAGACTTTTTCTCTCTTTATCTTTGATATCACCTGTCCGTCACTTGTCACAGTCAGATCAAATCATATGTTTTTGGATTTATTTATCCTTTGATTTGGTTATTGAAATTTTATAATTATCAGATAAAATTTCGTAGTTAAATTGTTTATTTTTGATGTCGATCGCAGTGTGCAATTCGTTCATTTTAATTGTGGAATTTCTGAGTTAAGTTCGTTCATTGACCAGATATGAAATATGGCAGTGGAAAATATTCTAGAACATCGTTTTTTATTTATACCTTTTTATGAGTTGGACTAGTCGAGATATATAGTTCTCTATCTATATCCTGGAGGCAGATTTCCGGTTGAAATCTGGTTTTGTGAAGGAAATCCAATTCTTGTGTGACTTCTTGTGTATCCACCGTCCGAATGGTATCGTGAAGAATTGGCTGCCGTTTCGTGGAGCAATTTCCCTGTTGGTGAGAAGCAGGACTCTTTAGAGAGGATCAAGTTTTCCGGAACACATTTGGTCAGAGACGTGGTGTATTTTGTTGATTTGTATGGACCGCCGACCAAATTTCCGTAATGGGATTAAAATAGCCTTTTCCGATCGATATTCCGAATCAACGTGCCCAAGAAGTCCCCGAGTAGAGTTCCAAGGTATGCTATAATTCTTCTGCCTATTCTAAGTCAATGCTCAACTGATTTTTGTTCGTATTGTTGACAGGTTTTCGACTTTTCCACGCCCACGTGGTGTAGAAAGATTAGTTGAGTGTTATCTTTCTTAAATCTTATTTGGTTGTTCGTAATTGTAGAGCAAGAAGACCGATCCAGACCGTAGAGCACAGAACAGTCCAGAATTCTATCCGTTCCTGTTGTCCGTGTAGACATGACCCGTTGGACATCATAAACCCTCGTTGAGGTAAAGTTCAGATTTAATTAGTCCTTCTTTATTACCTTTATTGACACCTACACGTTGTGCTAGTCCTTGTTCTATAATTGAGGCTCTTTTCTAAGACAACCAATGTTATTTAGGGTTTTTTATGTTCACCGTTTGAAATGTCAACACCTGCCTTGTACCTGTACCTCTGCTGACATCCGAGAGCTCCAGTGACAGTACAACGAGCTGTAGCCACCCTGCTGTAGCCACCCTGTAGCTATGAGCTATAGCTAAGCGGGAGGAAGTTCGAGTAGTTTCAAGACTTAGAGTAAG